CATTTCGCTATAGTATTTGGTAACAGAACAGTTCTTCTTCTCGTCTGCCTGGTTCTCAAGGGACATCCAAATCCGATAGGGCCCAGGTAGTTTATCGAGCCCGTGGGGCCCGATCCCGCTCAAGGTGGGTGGAGCCGGCCGGCGCGGCCGTCAGTGATTGGCTCAGTGGTTTGGTAGTACAGCGTACGGGACGACCAGAACTACACACGTTTCGGAGACCACGGGAGTGGCCAGGCTGGCCTCAAACATCTGAACCGATTTCACCCCTTGTTGTCGTCTGGTCAGTGCTGGCCGGTTACCCTCCTGCCTAACAAACGTGGCGCCCGCACAGGCGCTGCTTATCCTCCTGTCCCAAGACCAACGCAGCGCCCGCACAGGAGCTGTTTATCCTCCTGCCTAACAAACGTGGCGCCCGCACAGGCGCTGCTTATCCTCCTGTCCTAAGACCAACGCAGCGCCCGCACAGGAGCTGTTTATCCTCCTGCCTAACAAACGTGGCGTCCGCACAGACGCTGCTTATCCTCCTGTCCTAAGACCAACGCAGCGCCCGCACAGGAGCTGTTTATCCTCCTGCCTAACAAATGTGGCGCCCGCACAGGCGCTGCTATCCTACTGTCCTAAGACCAACGCAGCGCCCGCACAGGAGCTGTTCATTCTCCTGCCTAACAGCGCCCGCACAGGAGCTGTTCATTCTCCTGCCTAACAGCGCCCGCACAGGAGCTGTTCATTCTCCTGCCTAACAGCGCCCGCACAGGAGCTGTTCATTCTCCTGCCTAACAGCGCCCGCACAGGAGCTGTTCATTCTCCTGCCTAACAGCGCCCGCACAGGAGCTGTTTATTCTCCTGCCTAACAGCGCCCGCACAGGAGCTGCTCATTCTCCTGCCTAACAGCGTCCGCACAGGAGCTGTTCATTCTCCTGCCTAACAGCGCCCGCACAGGAGCTGTTCATCCTCCTGCCTAACAGCGCCCGCACAGGAGCTGTTCATCCTCCTGCCTAACAGCGCCCGCACAGGAGCTGCTTATTCTCGTCTGGTCAGCACTGGCCGGGTCATACGTTCCCATTTTCCAACCCAGCACGGCCTCAACTAAGGGATTTCCGTTCAGCCTGGTCCGCACTGTCGGTGGCTCAACTTTGAAAAAAGGGGTGACGGTGGAGGACGAGAACGAGAAAAGATGAGTTGTTAGTTCCAGCTAGAGTCTCAGTAAATCATTCCCACTAAAGTCAGCCCACACCTAAGATGAATAAGGAACTCAGGGGGGGATAGATGATGCACGTCACGCCCCTGTGCGTGGAAAGTCCACCGACGCGGCTACGGGTTAGGAGGGAGATGAGAAGCGAGTGAAAGGGAGGAGGACTGTACAAATAGATAAATCGGGTTTCCCGAATGATGCTAAACTCGGACAGACCCCACTAGATATTAGGCCTCGATTGAGTAAGCCCTGGATGCGTGCAATAAGTCGCGAAATTAAACGTGAGGATGAAGGCGAGTCGGGCACAGACCGCCGAGGAGGGTTTCAAGAAATGTTACCCGGTCAGCCTCGTGTCCTGGCTCGGAGGGGACGACGGGCTGTAGTCTGTCTAACCTCTGGCTAGCGGGACACGGGACCAGTGGCCCGATTGTTCCGGCCCAGGGTAGGCCTGGGTGATAATTAAGGTCACGTGGGCCGTCGCCTGGGATGTGTATCGGCGGGTGGGCCGCCGCGAGATGACGGTGTTCCGTCTCGGATTAACAGCCTCGGAGGCTGGGCAGATTTTAGGCTGCCGGGCTGGCCCGGAAGCCCTGAACTATGACTGGAGCGAGATGCGGTCATCAGTATCACGGATGGACCTTAGTTACCCAGCCCGGTTTCAAAAAGATAGGTAGGCCCGCTATCGGTCCCTCAAGTGGTCGGCGCGGGACGTCATTTGAAGAGCGATAGTTTCGGAGGTGGTTAGGACCCCGGGCGTCTTAGCGAGGGAATCGTATGCCGCCGGAAGAGTAATGCCCCGCGAAGGAACGTATAATGCCGCAAGACGGGGGTGAACATTAGATACCGAGCATTCGAGTCGGGTGATCGCAGTCAGACGGTGCTGGCCACCCGCAGTCAGTCGAGTAGCTCCGGCCATGCTCTGGTCCTTTCGAATAGGTCTGTGACGACAGCTTAACTACCAGCCACGGATAGATAGGGCTTTGGACGCCTATGCGCTGGTAGTCGACGATGTGTGTTGAGTGCAGGATGTCCCCGAGTGGACCTGCGTGCGTGGAAGACGCGTGTCGTCTTTGTAGTTAGCCGACGAGAGCTAACCCTTTTTAGGTCGCCGGGTTGGCCCGGAAACCCTGAACTATGGCTGGTGCGAGATGCGGTCATTAGTATCACGGACGGACTTTAGTTACCCAACCCGGCTTTCAAATTTTAGATACGTCCGCCGCGGAAAGCCCGGGCTACTGAGTGCCCTGCGAGCTCTAGCTCCGGAACCGTGGGCTGGAGTGTGTTAGAGATGCTGACTGACCACTGGCAGTAGAAGGTAGGTCCACACGTGAGTGGCAGTAAGACAAGGGCTGCGTACGTTGTTGCAAAGGTTTACCGGCCCATGCTGTAAGTCCATTGTTCGCTCAATAACCTGCGTGCGTGTGTGTTTATTATTTGTGTGTAGGTAGTCCGGCATGGTCTTGGACCCGCTATAAGTCGCGTAATTCAAAGGGCGGAGTGCCGAAATCTGTGGTGGTTCGTATATTCTATTCGTGTAGCGTGAGCATTATGAAGCGTTTGTCTGATGTACGGAGCATTGTGGTTATGAAGGGATAACGGTTAATGAAATTCAAGGCCAATGACTCAATAACGACTTGCGCACGCCTTAGCACCACCGGGGGAAGTTAGGCAAAGAGGGAGGGATCGGAGACGGCTAACTCTGATAATTATGAGGTATAACTGGACGTATGACAGAAGTGAGAAGGGATGCACGAGTGGAAGTATGATTGTTGTGTATATCCGGTGGGAGATAGCCCTCAGCTAGGAAGGGCGCTGTTGTTTGAGAGTGGGACTTTTTGTTAAGTAGAGTTGGGTTCGTATTTCAGTGTGATCAAGGATAATAGGTTATTATTATCTCTCCTCCCATTCCTTAACCCTGGCCTATGTGTTTCCGATGATTGATCGCCCCGGAAAGATAGAGTCAGAGTCGGAACGGGTTCGCGAGGGGCTGGACACGGAGAAGGGCTCCTAGGAGCGCACCGACGGAGCTCTCATCTATTGCTCAATAACGAAAGACACTGTCCGGTTACCTTGCTCTCCATCACTATCGAAAGACACTGCCCGGTTAGCCCCGCAACGCCGCGAAACCCCGCTACAATATGATGCATATTTTCTGAGACACATTCATTAGGAATAGGATGACAAGCGTAAATTATACATACCGTAACCTTATTAACCATCGCACTTGTGGGGAGGGGGAGGGGAAGGGGTCGGATAAAACCCCATGGTTTTCCGCAAATTACTCGCGCAAAAAGCGGCCGATCGCGCCGAAACTTTCGGTACCCTCGAGATCATCAATTTTACATCTAACCTAAAAATTTCATGACTCTGACCCAACTGACCTTTGACCTGTGGCATATTTCTCGAGACCATGTTTGGCCGGAATCGCGATTCGACGTATGCCAGCTCACATTATCCGCGGTTTCCAGTCTTTTTGTGGTTTTAAACGTTCAAATATGTGAAATGATGTTGGTGCCATGCATAATGGTGGGTGCCAAGGTCACGTGAAGGTCAAGTCAAGGTCATTGACCTTTTGATGACCTTGGTTCACTTTTTCAAGTTTTACTTGTTTCTATGAGTAGTTTTTGGTGCTGATTTCGATTTTAGCAGCCATTTGAATATTTACGAAGTAGTTCTAGTGCCTTCGTTCCATGTTACGAAGCTATCAGTACTGTAGTAGGTGACACTCCTATGGATGGCCGGCAGGACGTCCATAATTGACGTCCTGGCAAGACGTCCTAATTGATCTAAAGGCCTGGCTACACTATGCGTTTTCTTCGTGCGTTTTTTGCGTGTTTGCGTGTTTTGCGTGATATCGTTCTAGAAAAAAGAACGATATTACGTTTTTGTGATGTTTTTCACCTTAAATTTTAGTCACATAAGAGTTATATTAGCTTTTGTATATAACCATAGTAAAAATTATATTGTTTATAACTTTTTTTTCCTAGAACGATATTACGCAAAACACGCAAACCTGCAAAAACGCACGCAGAAAACGCATAGTGTAGCCAGGCCTTAACCTGACCTGACCCGACCTGGCCTAAATGCATAAAGACATCGTCTGTGATCAAAACTAACATGAAATTCGTGATCAGCACCCCAAAATACCTCGGCCCGTAACACCCTAACTTTGCGAAGTTTCAAGAGGTCTCGATTTCCCAACTTTAGTTGGGTCATTAAACTGACTTGGAAAGTCAGCTTATGACCTTGGACTTTGAAATTGGATATATTCGACCTAATTTCGTCATAGCCAGCACGCTTGACTTTTCCGCGAAGCTCTAGCTTGATCAGGGGCCAAACGGCTGAGCGGGGGGTCCAATTGAACCCCCTATACTATGTTGATTATGCACATGTACAGGTAAAATTCTCACCAGGACACACCAGCCAACATCTGTGCACAATCTGGCTACAATTCTGCCTATGGTTTGCCCTCTACGAATAAATACGTGCTAACAGATCGGAAAAATCCCCACTGTGCGCTGTAGCCGTATTGGTTCCCGAGTTGTGCGCCGTTTTGCCTATTGGCGCATAACTCGGATAAAAAGTTGTTAAAATAGGCAAAATTTGACCTTTGATGGCTTATGGTGACATGACCTTTGACCTAACCTAAACGGTTACCCTAGTATTTTTCTTTATTGTTGAAGCTCTTTCGAATGTCGCTTACCGCGTGTCGCTACGTGACCTAAGAGCCAATTGTTAGATGGGGTGGGGGGGGGGGGCATAAGCCCCCCAGAACGCCATGGAAACGCAAACCACCAGCACGGTGCGGGCTTAGATTATCATTTACGAAGACGAAAATCGGCTAATAGGTACTTACAATACAATACATTGTATTGGGACTTTCCTCAACGCATTTGAGGATAGTACATACAATTCCAAAATTGCTTTGAACAACAACGATAAGCAGTGTGCATGGTTACATCACATCATGTATTGTGTGCATCACATCATACATAGTTGGTGCAACACAAAAGCCGAAACATTGTTAATCCCGAAAATGTCGCTTTTCATATAATGCACGCCAGTCTGAACAATACTGCAGTACGCTACAAGCTGGCTGCGGCTGTTCACATGGTGATATTGTTACCAGCTCAAAGTGTAGCTGTTCCCGAGGCGACGCTTGACTCCACCGAGCAGGCGTCGTAGCTCCTCTCTGTCTCAGTTTAGGTTCAGCACGCGGCGGCAGTAGCTCTCCATGTCCGGCTCAGAACTCTGGCTGATGGAGACACGACTCTAAAATAGCACAAACATGGTGTCAGTCGGTCACAGTAGAGGAATCCCAATAGGGAAATAGCCTGGAAGGGCACTGGGGTTAGTTAGTAGTTAGCACCTAATGAAAATGTTGATTCCTAAATTAGCCACTTTCTAAGTAATAAGTGCGTCAAAGCCGCCATCCGATTTTCAGCTCGCCCGTTTCTATGCTACTTTTTTTTGGTCGATCTGCACAATGGATTGGACTCGAAAACAGTCATATTCTAATCCTGTCCTCAAAAATTAAGTTTTACACATAGCAGCTTGTCAGCGGTTATTTTGTTTGCATGACTGGCGAAATTCGGTGGCGTCTTGAAGCAAAATAAAAATGTCATCACCCGGTGATATATCTGAATCTGTGGGAAAAACGTCACTCTGATTAGTACTTAATCAAATATGCAATTACACTTACCTCGTCTCCATTGTCCTGCTGGGCTGGAGAAGTCTCCTGGATAGCGAGAGGCGAGATGGGATTGCCACTGGCGTCCAGGGTTTGGGTTTGTCCGCCAAGCTGTAACTGGGGTTTCGCTGCGACGGCCAGAAACAAACACGCGAAAATAATCGCAGTTTTCATGATGCAAGTCTGGAAACGAGCGAGGACCTATTTGTTAGATAGGAGAACATAATGCGTACATACCGTACATCCCAAACTTGTCAGTTTGCATGAAGTGTTCTGCATAAGCGACACATAAAAATAGCACATTGCATTCCTGCGCGGAAAAAATAAACGTGTTTATTAGAATCTCCGATGGCTAGTCTGCATTAAAGAACAGAAAATGGGCACTTCAGAGTGCAAATTGAAAATAATCCGTCCACATTCCGGTATAGGCTGAATAATAGGCATTTAAACTGTGGGTCATTAGTTGTGTAGAGATATATTAATTACTCGACTGACTCTTAGTTAAGTCAATTCGACATCAAACTATACCATATGTCAGGCATCCTATGTAGTCATGCGATCGTCGGAAGAGCTTACCTGTTAGCTGGAGACGTCTCGACGGTGCAGCGACGTCTGATGGCCTTCCTCATATTGTCACCGATTTATATAGTCGACCTGAGGTCATGGAGTATCACAGTGAACACGTCCAAAAATGTCGGAACGAGAATCGCCTACCAAACTTAGCTGCAAGGTCCACAGTTTGAAAAAGCATGCTGCGCTTTTATCGTCAGCCGAAAGTGCAGGTTATTATTAGATGCGGATGCAAGCGATTCTTAATTCCAGTTATGGTTATATGATAATAAGGTGTGGGCATGAAAACAATGTGCCACAATTGTTCCTTAGCTGAAAAGAAGAGTAGCATCAATAATGCCATGGCTGCAGTAGTGCCTTATTGTAATGGCATACAGCGTCGTTCTGCAGGGCACTTATGTAATAATTCCGCAGATAACAGAGTAGTACCATCGTTGAGCTTAATGACAAAGCCTTTGGGAATAATTTTGATTTTTCAATATTGCTTTTATATCAGGTTTAGAATGAGGGCGTATTATGAACTAGATCTATTGGGGGGGGGGGGGGGCGGGTGAATTGTATAATAGTCTTGGCAGGCCATTTTTACCAACGACATTTCCATGGCTAACTGATTAGTGGTTATAGGTCGTTGCATGCTTAATTTCATCGTCCATCTCTCTCTCTCTCTCTCTCTCTATCTCTCTCTCTCTCTCTCTCTCTCTCTCTCTCTCTCTCTCTCTCTCTCTCTCTCTCTCTCTCTCTCTCTCTCTCTCTCCTCTCTCTCTCTCTCTCTCTCTCTCTCTCTCTCTCTCTCTTCGGTGATAAATTGTATTGGTCGATCAATTAATTAGATGTCATGTGGGTTGACAGAAAAGTGAGTCTCGTCAACAACTCGTATGCCAAGAATCATACAAATATAGCCGTGCCTTTTTCGAGATTGATTAAACAATGCCCGAGTCAGTGTTGTTTATGCATAAATCATCATTACAGTCGTGATATGCTTAGAAAAGACTGCATACGAGCTAAGAATAGCCCGTAGCCGTTGCTTACCATTAAGAACACCGCGCAATTTTTGAATGATAACGTATTGCAGCTAAATTAAGAACGGATTTCTGGTAAGGACCAAGGCCGGTTTCCGGAGTTGACTCTGTGACCCGAGGTCGCCGGTATAAATTGGGGGGACAGTAGTGGACGGTTCGGTGTGCCTTCAGCCGACGGTGCTGGCAACACGTCTCCGAGTTGCATTGCGCAGGTTAGTTGATTGATGCGGCAGGCTTGCTACAAGTTTTGCCCAACGACTGTGCCAAATTATTGCTTTCTTGGTGTACAGTTAGTCACTGAAAAATAATTTTCTTTACTTAATAACGAGACTGCGCAACAGTCCAATGACTATATGATAACGATAACTTTAATGTAATGATAAATTTAATTGTTAATAACTCTATAATAGCAACAGTCTTCCTGAGCCAAAGACGATTTGTGACTTTTTATAAACGGCTGTTGTATATATACTGAAATTTTGGTCAAACTACAATTTCTTTTTGTTGATGAATAATCCCGCAAAATTGTGGAATTGTCTAACTTAGCTGTTTTTCAGCATTCGTATGGATGATGAACCACACTGCTGCTTATTTGCAATCGTGCTGTTCTTTTTAGGCGCATATTGTTTCGCAGTAAACGTGCCATAAAACGCTGCTCGACAAGCCACACCGAGTCATTTTTGCATAAATATGTAGATCAAAGTTTTAATTACGACCCAGAAACGATGTGATCATCATTTCATTTGACGAGCCTTTGAGCAGTGACCGTCTTTTCGTGTGTTGATATATTTATTCATCCACAGACCGACGCGATGAAGACCGCCGTTATTCGCATGTGTCTGAGGCCGTCGCTGACAAGCCACAGTTCGGCGGCCTCGCCAAGCAGTAGCCTTTCTCATAAAGCTTTGTCTAGTAAGAAGTAATAGTAAAAAGCAAGATTTTACTGTTGACCAGTAAAATTCTGTTTCTTAAAGCAAAAATTACTTTTACCTAGAGTTGCAAATTTACTAGGTTACTATAGCGCAGTCTTACTAGCGACCGGAAGATCCTGGGTTGTGTTTCATAAAAGCACGTGCCGTAGTAAAAAAGTCGAATGACGTTTGCTTTCGTGCTGTCAATTTCACCCTTGCTCTACCCGCTCTACCCAAGGCTACAGAACTCCGCTCTACCTTGCAGTAAAACAGCTAAGAGTTTTTCTTTTAGCTTTAATTATACGGCCTTGGCTTTAATTGTACTTTATGTCTACTCTTAACCCTCGCCCGCACATGGGGGGGGGGGTGCATCCCCCCCAGGGGTAGTCTTTCTGCTCTACACTCAACATTTTTAGAGCTAGAAGGCTGATTTTTCGTATAGCTGCTCCTCTATCTTTTCTTGATGTCCACTGAAAATTTCAAGTTTCTGTGGTTTTTGGTTTTCCTTCCCGTTCCGCCGCCTATGCCAACAGGGTTGTGTTGTCACTATCCTTTCGTGACTTGGTCTACACTTCCTCGAGACGATAAGGAAAGCATGGTGCAACAGCTTGCATGGATGTCAAGATTGTGTTATATTGGGCTTTGGTGCCCTAGCTGAGTGGATGCCTCTTTTATGGACCAAGAGCCTGCCAATTAAGGGATCTCTCTCTCTCTCTCTCTCTCTCTCTCTCTCTCTCTCTCTCTCTCTCTCTCTCTCTCTCTCTCTCTCTCTCTCTCTCTCTCTCTCTCTCTCTCTCTCCAAATCACTGACAGCAATCACAAACAGCCCTACCACGCCATATTAGCAGCTGCACAACTTTTGCCTTAGCTTGCAGCCTACCTACCAGTTCACGGAACGTCATAGCTTAGCCACAACACAACAAATCTCCTGGTAACGCACTGCTTTTCAGTGCTGAATTATAAGTTTCAAAACATTCAGAAAAATACGGAGATCGCTATTTACCCTGGTTAAAAGCGATCCGTGAATCTCTTCCAATACCTGTTGACATTTTTGGGTCTTTTCCAGATCCAGTGATGAGGACTGCCGTCATTCTTTTTTGTCTGGTGGCTGTCGCTGCCAAGCCTCAGCTGGGAACCTTCAGCGCGCGCAATTTCGATGCTCGGGGCCGCCCCATACCAAACATCGGCTTCACTCTGTCTCGGGAGCAAATCGAGCGAGTCATTGACGACATCAAGCTCCCACCGGAAGAATTTGAACCGGAGAACTGAGACAGTAGCGGTGCCTGAATCTTTGGACTGAATAATCTGGAACTGAACGGTGACTCAAGCTGTATCCGCCTGTGAAACTGAAATACATGGCCACTACGATTCGACCAAAATAGGTACTATTGTAGTCACAATCATGCTTAGTGGTGATCGATATTTTTGATAAGTGAAATAATCCATTTTCGGATACATATTGTTTGCATATTGTTTGAAGAGTGACGACAATGAAAATGCTGCGGTACTGCACCAATTTTTCAGTAGCGTTTTCACCACGGAGAACACCAGTGACATCCCCGAGCCTACATGGCAGTATGAGGGCTCCAAGCTGGAGGACATTGTTATATCAGCTGACATTGTCCACCAGAAGCTGAAGCAGCTGAACATTACCAGTTCTCCTGGCCCAGATGGTGTCCCCAGCCGGCTGCAGCCGGGTGCTGGTTGAGACTGCTGGTGCTGTTGCTGCCCCACTAGCCACACTGTTCCAGTCACTGGATTCAGGCTGTCTCCCCGAGGACTGGAGCCTCGGGACAGTCATTCCAATCTACAAGAAAGGATGCAAGAGTCTACCGGAAAACTACAGGGTGTTTGGCTCACTTTCTCCGACGTAGATCTGTATTTATAGATTAGGCTCCCTGTCAGCCATGTATGTAATCCGATTTGTGCGTACTGAATGGCAGGGTGAGCTGCCGCCCCGACGGCCCGACACTTTTCAAGGTCAGAGCGTGGAATGCCAGGGGAGAGAGAGCGAACAGAGAGAGAGCGAGCGAGCGAGAGAGAGAGAGAGAGAGAGAGAGAGAGAGAGAGAGAGAGAGAAGAGAGAGAGAGAGAGAGAGAGAGAGGAGAGAGAGAGAGAGAGAGAGAGAGAGAGAGAGAGAGAGAGAGAGAGAGAGAGAGAGAGAGAGAGAGAGAGAGAGAGAGAGAGAGAGATGGAAATGGCTGGGGGCCCGTTTTTCAAGTGACTCAATCTGGACGCCACAGTAAACCGATAAAATGCACTAAAATAGTACCTTCCGAACGGAAATTGAATGCTCTTTAAAGGGACCCTCCCACCTTAACATTAGATTTGAGTTGAGATAGCCAAATTGGTGGCCATGGCCTGAAAATACCGGTTTGGGCACTCACAACATCGAAAAATGCTTTAATTCGGAGATATCGAATTTCAAACTTGCAGTTTTCGGATTCTAAGGGGCTAATGCATTGGTATGCCCCCTTAGAATTTGTGACGTCAGCGGAGATCTAACGATTTTAAATATTTTACTAAAACGTTTGGTAGCACGCGGTGGTATATGCTGCTTTGCGCGCAACAAATGCCGCACTTTCAAATAAAGTCGCTAGGAACAGCGGAGATCCCAAAAAGTAAACAAAAGTAAAAGTCTAATATCTTGAAAACCGGTGAATATTTTTCGATGAAATTTGGTAGATATTCGTTTTTGCTCTTTCTGAACCGAGCGACATCACTTTCATGCCAATTCATTAACTTTTTTGAAGGTGGGAGGGTCCCTTTAACCCGCGCCCGGCTGGGGGTCCTGGATTTCCACGCCCTGCTGGGGGGGAGGGTGTTTGAACACCCCCCTTCTTACTCGGCTCCTGGGCCACGTAGCGATACGCAGAAGGCGGCGTTCGAAAGAGCGTCAAAAATAATGAGGAAATCACTTCGGTCAATTTTTTGGTCAGGTCAAAGGTCAGGTCACCAGAGGTCATTGAAGGCAAAATTTCGCCGATTTCCAGGTCGAATGTCGACAATTTCCAAGAAGCCAACGCATAACTCGGGAACCAATAGAGCTACAGCGCCGCGGAAAAGCGCATTCGATAGCCCTATTAACGCCCTTTCTGAATAATTCTCTCAGATTTGACCTAACGTCAACGGTGTTGCCTGCACGAGGCAAAAACTGCAAAAATAGCCGATTTTTTCGGAAACAGTTTTTCTGCAATAACTTTTGACCCAAGCCTTGTACGAGCTTACTTTTACCGGCATCGTGTTTCTCTCGTCAAGACACATCGAATGAACTAAAACTTGACCTTGAAAGGTCAACTTGAAAATTTGACCTCAGGTCAAGGTCATGACCTGACCGGAAAGGGTCATGTTGCATATCAGTCGATCTGTATCGTCGAGCTGAACACATCTAAGGCGTTTTCATCGCTCTAGCATGCCTCTATCAAAAGTTATTTGCGAAAAACTGTTAGATACCATTCGTGACCTAAGATGACCTCAGGGCATAAACAGGGGTCACGGACACCATTTTCATGTTCAGTGTGTCTAAACCACTTGTAATTCAGTGTTTGGGAGTGTTTATAATGTCTTTCGTCCAAAAGAGGCGCATTTCAATTTTCTCCCATTGACCTATAATGGGGAGGTCGCAAAATTGACCTGACCTTAGGTCATCGATATCAAAATTCTGAGATATACATTTTGTACACGCTATTGCTCTTAGCAATCACTGAAAGTGTCAAAGCGATCGGTCACTCGGTGTAGCTATGACAGACGTTGAAACTTTTTATGAGGTGAGGTCACTTCAAGTGACCTGGTGACCTGACCTTGAATGACCTTGGTCTGAACTTTTCACAATATGTGTAGAATTGATGTATGATAAGTTGTGCCAAAAAAGGCGGCGCTCCGCGCCGCTGTTTTTGAGATATTCGCGAAAAACCACAAGGGGGGGTGTTCAAACACCCCCCCCCCCCCCCAGCAGGGCGCGGGTTAAGGAACTGGGCTCAGAATTTTGATAGGGCCTTTAGTTTTTTCTCCATTTTGCAATGAAATCGAAATATGTCAAATTTTTACAAAATTTTAACATTTTCTTACTTTAACATAAATTTATGACGTTATTTTTACACGCAAATATGCAAAACCGGATATCATTCAAAAGCTTGTGGCATAGGAAAGGCGACGACAGTTACCGCGAGTCGATTACTCAATTACACCGGACACGGTGGGCCAAAAACCGAATTTCGGGGCCAAAAATCGGAAATCGTCTCTGAAAACCGGAAAAGCATTTTCAGATCAAAACAAATGCCCATTTCGGTTATAATGAGACCCAATGGGTCCAAAAATCGCTCGTTACTCAGGAACAAAATGACTGTTGCATAGTGTTATAAGTCAATGGAGAAAAACAAAAATGTCTCTAGATCCGTGTGTACGCATAGGAACATTCCAAATATTTCAGAATCACAACGATTTGGACCACCCGTGACGACCAAAATGTCTTTTTTGCTGATAGCCTCTAGGAAGGTCATCCGAGGTCATTTGAGGCTACAAACGGATTTTTACCAATAACTCGCGATGGGAAAGGGATAAAACGCTGGGGATAGCCTCATTGTGTTTTTCTTTCTGAGACGCATCGACTTATATGCAACATGACCTTTTCCGGCCAGGTCATGACCTTGACCTGAGGTCAAATTTTCAAGTTGACCTTTCAAGATCGAATTATAGTTCATTCGACGCGTCTCGACGAGCGGAACACGATTCTGGCAATTGGAATGTCGTGTCTTTTTTAAGTCAAAAGTTATTGTCGAAAAACACTTTTCGTAAAAACAACAATTTTTGGAGTGTTTGCCCTCTGGACATGGGCGGCGCCACCGGGGGGGACGGGGGGGGACAGGTCCCCCGCTATCGAAAGTTAGGGGGGTACAGTACCCCCCTATCGGCGAGGTCCGTTCAATAGTTGATAATAATGCATTGTAGAGTTATCCGTCGCATTTAATGCATCGTTGGTTAATCAAGACAGGTTCTGAATAAAGATTGCTGTTGGGATGTATCGCAGGGGGTCCTGGCCATCTGCAAAAGGTGTGGAGCTGTGATGCCTGTAGTCATAAGGTGATCGGCAGGGCCTCGGGGATCGTGCCCCCCCCCTTTTTGGGGCGCCAGACAGGGTTTATTACCTCCCCACCCCACTGCCAGACCACATTGCCGACAAAACCAAGTTTACTGAAATTCCATAGATTTCCGTTACTATATGGATATTTTCCATTCCTAATTAGTCAAATTCAAGCATGGCAGCTCTACCACAGGAACCATTTGAAATATATGCCATTTAACCCAGCACTTGTGGGCAGAAGTGTTCGGATAGATCACAGGCAGGACCAAAAAAGCACGCCGTAGCCCAAGATCTTATAATTGGGTAGCATCGGCACCCTCTCGTCAAGGGGTTCGATAGCACTCGTTTTTTTTCTGCAAAACTAAGTTCGGTCGGCGGCCGAACGGCTGGGGGTCTAATCAAGCCCCCTTCCCTCCCCTTCTTACGTCAGCGGCTGTGAAAATGCCATTACCAGCTGTTGAAACATGGCAGTTGCTTTTGCATGAGTGCACGAAAGGGTTTTAGGTACGTGATACGTGAAAGGTTCTACATGAAATTGAGATACACCAGCTTATCAAATTGTGCTCACTGTGGTGCGCTCGGTTTTACCTTGACTAGTCTTTGAATTCTGGGGTGAAACAGACCAGTCAAGAAACCTGTTCCATAAGGAGAGCCACTGATGCTAAAGAGATGAGGGATGAGGTTTCAAGAGACCTTCATTACCTCCCAAAGGGGTGCCACGCCATTTGCCAATCCCTGCTGTAGTTGTTACGATTGGAGGGTGAATATGAGAACGATGCAGGTCGTGACAGCTCGATCATGACGAACACAATGGTGCCGACATCACAGCTCTATGTACCGCAATTTTTGACGAAGTTAATCAACAAGGACCGGAATCCTACCCTGGGGCACTTCACCTGCAGAGGTCGCCGGACCTGAGACCCTTTCACTCAATTTTTTCAACGGTGCATGCGGCATGCGCTCGTTTTTCCCTTGAAGCTCTTGGTAAGTAAAATCCATCAGAAAGTGTGATCAAATAACGGCTGGTGACCTTCCATGACCTAGCATGACCTTTTGAGTGACCACCGATGACATGACCACTGACGGCTAGCCATTAGCTGCACCCTGCCCGTTGCATATGGATCAGGTGGTGATGTCATGATTCTGAAATTATATTGCAGTTTGGGCGCACTTGTCAGAGCAGAAAACATTCCCACTTTTCCTCCATGACTATATGATGATGAAGCCATGAAGCTGACCAGACGCAAGATCGAAAATTTGAAAGTACGAAACGTAAGTAGTTGGCACTGCTACTCATACCTAAGCAATTCGCAGCTTGTAGGAAACCAGCTTTGAGTTGGCAAGACTGCAAATTTTGATTTAGAGGCAAGGATGCTTGAAAAGGTGATCGATCTTATAGTTGTCCTATGATAAGTTTGGAAACGGGATGCACCATTCGATGTGTTTTGGGCTTTGCCAAGTTTCGCGGCGTTACGTGCCTCGTTTTTTTTTTTTTTGCATACACGATCAGTATCTACTTTTGGGATTCTCAGTCAGGCAAGCCCCCGTCCCCGTCCCCCCCTATCGAAAACCCGTGGCGCCGCCCCTGCCTCTGGAGGCTAAACCGTTGACCTGAGGTCATTTTTGATAATGACCTTATCAAAAGAAGAGTTCAAAAGCTATCGATTGCTTTTTAATGCGGTTTCCTAGCTATTATAGTTCCTGAAATAATGGTATGTTTTCTGAAAAATATAATGACAATTCGCAAATTTTGACCTTTGATGACCTCTGGTGACCCCAGTACTGCTCCAAGATGAAAAATAACTGGAATACTTTCAAACGTAAGCATTGAGAGCTATCGACTGCTTTTTACCGCGTCTTTCTAGCCCTCTTAGTTTTTGAGTTAGAGGTGGGTGGTAACATATCCCCCCTCCCCACTAGGGCGAAGTTGGCTGAGACTGCCACTGGGGCGCGGGTTAAAAAAAAAATGGGCTGTTAAGATCCGCCTTGTTGAGAGCTTTCGATTGCCGTTTTCCCCGTCTTTCTACGACCATCGGTTCGGAAGTGAGACAGGGGGGCAGAATCTGCCCCCCCCCCCCCAGCAGGGCGCGTATGGCTGAATAGCCCAGCGGGGCGTGGGTTAACTCGAGAGTACCATGAAAGTTTCGTTGCGATCGGCCGCTTTTTGCGCGAGTTATTCGCGAAAAACCATGAAGGGGTCAATCCGACCCCCTTACGCATGCGAGGGTTAAATAAAAAAAGTGTTTCGATAACCTACATACACGCATGACATTGCTTCAAGGCAGAAATGATATAGTTACAGCACAATGTAATAAGCGTGAAAAGACATCATACTATGATGTCTTATGAGGCTTGAAGCCTCACATTTTCAGCAATGCCAGCATTGCAAATAAAGTAAAGTATGATATCGTGGGCTCTTTGAGAATGTCGGTGACATAGGCGGCGGAACGGGGAGGGCACCGGGGCACCGTGCCCCCTTTGATTTTGATATTTTAACATTAGCCCTATGGGTGTTGTATGGAAAGAATGGGACCAGAAGTTGGCAGTGCCCCCCTTTAATTGAAGGTGTTCCGCCGCTACTGGTCGGTGACTTTTCAAAATTGCGCGTGCAGTGACATAGCTTTGACAGCAAAGGATGCTGCAACTTGGAACGACAAAACGGCGACGTCCTCAACAACCTTGGTGGTGCTGGTTTGGCTTATTGAATGCTCGGCATACAAAGCGTATTCGGTTGGTGTAACATGTAAAACAAGTGTTATTAAATTTATTGTCTATATAAGCGTACTTAGTCACTGACTCTAGAATCAAAAACTTCACATATTTTGATCAGTTTATTGTTCAAAAGCAGCAGAATTTTTGGCATATCCGCATTCACGCATTTCCAGAAACAGGTGGATCACTGTCTTTGGCACATGCGGCCATGTCAGTACGACTTCTTGCAGATGCCGTTTTTGCCCCGAACTTCCAGCATCTTGTGTAAGAACTCTGTAATCCCCGTACCTTCTCGTGACGGTTGTCTTCGCGCCGCTAGCGTTCAGCTAACGAACTCTGTAACTTTGGCACTTTCACACGAAAATGACAGCTTGCTTTCGCTTAGTTAAAGTTGTCTTAACGCCATGGAGTTGCAGTTGTCAGATCGGGTCTGTCCTTGCGCGGGAGCTAGCCTCCTCGCTGGATGCTGGTCGCCTGGTTGTTGGCGAACTGGTTGCTCCCGAATAATCCTGTGCTCTGGCCGACTGAGCTCTGGCCCTGGTTGACAGACGAGGAGAATAGTCCAGAAGCAGTTCCCTGCGGCAGAGCGTGATGGATTCGTTAGGCGAGTGTGTGAACTTTTTTTTATTCGTCATCCTTCCAACGGGTCGATATGCCCATTTACAGGAAGGATCCTGCGCCTTCAACCTACATGCCCATCACCCTGGGCTACGGCTCATGTGGGAGCCCACCCCACTCCTGGTGACACAGCTGGGGACGACGCCCACGGAACGGGCGGCACCGAGGATCGAACCCGGAATCTCCCGCACCGCGGGCGAGGACCGCGGGCTACGGCTCATGTGAAGCCTTACCAACTGCGCCACCAGAGCCAAATGCAAATTTTTAATGCTGGAAATGTGAGTTTTGGTGGACCTGTGGCGCATGTTTGGCGCGTGAGGGGAACAGTGCCATACTTTTCAGTATGGTTGCTCATATAAAGTGTATGTGATATATGTTATAGTGTCACATGATCACACACATGGTACACATGACTATCACATGTTGCCCAACATCTAACATATAATATATAATGGCATTTTGATAGCATAAGATGGTAGTTATGTATATGCATGTCTGTATGAAACTGCAAAATGCACAACCCTAGCATTAAACAATTGTAACAATATTCGCCACAGTTAACCCGCGCGGGGCTGGGGGGGGGGTAAATTTTACCCCCCCCCCCTCGCGAATTTTTGCGATATCTCAAAAACGGCGGCGCGCAGCGCCGCCAAACTTTCAGTACCTTTTCTTACATCAATTTGACACGTTCCCTGAAAATTTGAGCGAAATCCGTCGGGAAATTTTTGAGAAATTGACGTTTTAGTGACGTCATGTTCGCCATTTTCGCCTCAAAAACGGCAAAAGTTCAAACGCCGCTAACATCTTCATTTTTAAAGGAATCAAGACGTAACAAAAAGGTTATACGTAATTTTACTTTGTCTATCAAATGGCTATCTCGGTTTTTTGAAAATTTTGGATTTTGGCCTAATTTTTTTTCAAAAAACTGACTTTTTTGGGAAAATCATTATAAAATCCAAAATTTTGAGTCTATCGAAAAAACCGGAATACATGTCAGAGAAAGGGTCTATGTGCACCTACATACCAAATTTTAGAAGAATCGGTTCAAAAATGTGGGAGTTATTCAAAATTTTATGACGTCACGACACACAAAATTTTTGAAAAATGACTTTTTTGGAAGTTCTAGACTTCGTACGGAAACAAAAATAGCACCATTCGATTCGCCGTGAAAAACTGCATCAGATAGACACCTTTTTAGGCCTTAACAACCAACTTCAAAATTTGACCTCACTTGACCTGACCTTGACCTGACCTCGACCTGAAATTCATCCAGAGGTGGTCCATATCACTTATTGAGTGTGCCTATTGAATTCTATGAGTAAAATGACCCATAAAACATGTGTCGCACATGCCCTTTTCTATATTTTATTTTTTGGTGACCTGACCTGACCTGACCTGACCTTGACCTTGACCTCTGAATGATATTGTATGCAACGAATATTGTCTCGGTAGCCTAAGAACACGTTTTGGGCGATCAGTCTCAGTCCATGACTCCATTCTTCGGCAACTACGGTGCAAGGCCGATACTGTAGAAACTTGCAATTTGTACCCTTGACCTGACCTTGACCTTGACCTCAAACTTTAAATTAAGTACATGTTTTTAGTAGTTCGTGATGAGAGCTTTCGATTGGCGTTTGAATTTTCCAAATCGGACCATTAGTTCGGGAGATAACAGGGGGGGGGTAAAATTTACCCCCCCCCCCCCCAGCCCCGCGCGTTCGGCTGGAGACCCCAGCCCCGCGCGGGTTAATTATGACGGCATCAGTGGCTAAACTATTTTTGAACACATGCAAACTGGTACCATTTCAAGTCACGAACATGCGATAGTCGTGTAAGTCCAAACAGACAAGTAAGTCAGTCCTTTCCGGCGTTCTAAACAAATGCGCTTGCCCTCTGAATGTACTTTCGCTTAGGTCTTGTCCTCTCAGATGTAACCCTGAAGTCCTCTAAGTGCTGGTACTTACTACTGGTAGTACTGGTACAAGTACTGGTACTGGTACTTACTCGGGCCCCAGCACTGCTGCTCTGAATCTGAGAAGTACCGCCGAACGGCCCGCTGGTCTGTCCCTGGAGGGATTGCCCGAAAGAATCGCCCGTAGAGCCGCCGAATTGCGGCTTGGCAGCGACGGCCACCAGCAGGCAGGCGATAACGACGGCAGTTTTCATGGTTGAAGTCTAGAAAGTGGAAACGAAGACAGGAAGTGAGACATTCTTCTGGTTGTCACAGGGCTACGGTGTGACCTCAGCTATATCAGAATGGAAGCTATGTTTGGTGTAGTTGTTAGCTTAAAAAGGTAGATATCAAACACTATACATTTGTAACGAATCAGAGATGTACAATGACGATAATAACTCGAGTTTGTTGTAAAGGACATAAAGTTTTTTTTTTTTGTTACAATAAACTTGAGTTATCATCGTCACTCTACATTTGGTATACCTACAACATACCTACATCATAAGGAACGGAAGATCGAAACAAGGCCATATATAGTGATCGAAATGTAGCAGCATGCACAAATGTAGATTGTATGCCTTGTTTATTGCGTTCCATATTCCACTTAAGGCATTGTGAGAACGCCTAATATAGGGTTTCGCTAGCCATCATTTAACTGTTGCTGCATCCTAGGCTAACGCGGGTCATTATTTCAATGAGCTATTACAGTGTCAATGGTATTTCTATCCGGCAATTTCCTAACACTCGCTATCCAGCGTTCCTACTAAGGGGACAAACGAAATTATTTTGCTGAATTGCTCCATACGAATGACGCCCACGAGTGATCTAGCATTCTCACGCTAGTGCGGCATTTTATAGTCACTCGCAACACTTCACATCAGCAGCATACCCCAACATATCCACAAGAGAGCTGCAGACAAAAGTACATGCGCATTGCAAATGGTGGATAGCTGTTGACTGATTCACAACTACGTGCACGCCCGTTCAACATATCTGGCGCAGTGAGCCCCACCTAAAAACGATACTCTCCCTCGACCAACTTACCTACAAAGCGAGCAGCAACGGTGATCCGCTTAGTTCAGTGGGGAAGTGCCCGTTTCTCAACTTCGACTCCCTTTATATAGCCAGCTTGCCGTATGGGAGGCTCTGTCGCCTCAAAACCCGTCGTGTGCTTCCACGAATTGCTTTGCACGCTATGCGGCAGCCCTGATCTGGTGATCGCTGTAGCGTCATGACGTGGGATTATACTTTGGAAGACGAGCCGGTAACGAGCCGGGAGGGTGCGACCAACAGGGCTTTCCGTCGTGTGGCGAACACCTCGACTCCTGAGACCTGCATAGGGGGTGCCGAATGATTACACAGACTCGAGCCACCGCACTAACACTTGGCTTCACCGCATTATAGAGTTCAGTGCTTCACCGACACTTCCTTCGCTTGGCTCATAGATCCATCACTACTGGTAATTATACGCTATATCAATATGCGATTGGCAACAAATTCAAATATCTAGTCGAAGTTAAGCTGTTTAACCCGCGCACCGACGGGGGGGGGGCGGATATCCGCCCCCCCCTGAGGTTTTTCGGGGATAGCGGGAAAACCGCGGCGCGTAGCGCCGCGAAATTTGGTATGACTATTCTCTCATCAATTTTACACATGGTGTGCAAGTTTGAACCTCCTAACTTTTAAGGTCAGGTCACCAGGTCACTTTGAATGACCCAACCTCAAGTCACTTTTTTGCAACTTTGTCACCGTGCCAGAGCTACAGTAGATGTCGGAGGCCTTTGAAAGTCGCAGGATGTTATTAGGTCATTAGTAGCTACAATTTGTATATCTCGGAATTTTGATGTCGGTGACCTAAGGTCAGGTCAATTTCGCGACCTCCCCATTATAAGTCAATGGGGGAAAAATCAACTCCCTGTTTTTACCAGTAAAACGGGTCGGAATGGCCCCATATACCATACATGACTTCACATACGATCAACCTTCACTACCTTGAGGTCTGTTTTGCTGTTGGGCAGCTGTAAGGTCATGTGACGTCATCAAAGGTCACCAAAGGTTTTTTGCCAATAACTCCTTACAGGAACAAGATACAGCCGCGCGGATGGTCTCATTGTGTTCAGCTCGTCAAGACGCATCGAATGATATACATGATGACCTCGAGGTCACGTGACCTGAGGTCAACCTTTGACCTTGACCTTTCGAGGTCAACATATATATCATTCGATGCGGATTGACGAGAGGATCACGATGATGCCCTTAGTTTGTTCCTATCTTGACTACTTCGAAAGTTATTCGAAAAAAACCATCTCCATATCTAGCGCCGCCATTTTGACTTTTTCGACCCCTGTGACGTCATCTTTGACCTGACCTGAAAATGACCTGGGTAAAAATTGTAGACCTTGTCCGTGCGTATCCGATGCCGTTTACCGCTTGTCGCTATCTTGCTTCGTTCTCGAGATCTCAGGGGGGGGGGCGGTCATCCGCCCCCCCCCCCCCGTCGGTAGTAAGTTGGCGCAGACCCCCGTCGGTGCGCGGGTTAAAAAAGCTGTTGTAAAAAAGCATGGCGTCAATGAAGGTCAATGAACGAACCGCCAACATAGCTAGACTCTAGTTTTCCAAAACCGTCTAAACGTTGGCTTACAATCGGGCGAGGCACAGCCGCTCAGACTAGCTTTTGGTGTCGCTGTTGCCGTTCATCCAGGACGCCAGCTTTCCTGCAGGACTGTTCTGTTAGTGCTCTTTCAACGGCGCCCTGAAGACTGAAATAAGAATAGGTGGGGATGTCGTTTAACGTGCTAGTGTTTACCCCAGCCCCATTGAAGTTCCAAACCTTCCCGTCCTCATTCTCTTTCGCAATAGTCTTTTTTTATAATGGATCAGCCTTTTCGCGTATTACGCATCTTTTTTGTAGGTGTCATCTCCTGGTACAAAGTGCAATTGCGGTGTTCAAAGTTGCAACAGCCTAGTTGCGAAATATTTGGGTCATTCCAGCCAGAATCCAGAGCGTATTATCTACCAGCTCTATACCACCCTCTTATCATGGATGGTTTCTAGACATGCTGTGTCATGTTACGTTGATCGTTACCCGTGTTGTGTTGTGAACGTAAACAAGCGGAATTCATTTACGGCCTATGCGTCATGGATTATCACATCGTGAATTCGCTGTTCGTGTAAGAACTAGCTGGCTGGGTATTGTTTTGATGTTAGTTTCCTAAGCACAATGGACATTGAAAACAATTCGTACCTTCGTGACCCCACTACATTGAAATCTAACATAAGCGTTAAATGAACCGGAAAATCACGTCCTTTACTACATTTTTGTTTACAGATATGGAACTGGCCTAAACTATTGACATTTTCTAAAGGACGCAGTCAAAAACAACTTTTTAGAGGCAAAGCGGCCGTTCGCCATATTTCTAGGGCTGTGCTGTAGATGACTCTAACCAGAGGCTATTTTGATATTCCCGTTTTATTATTACACCTTCAAAAGTGATAGACAATTAAGTAGCCTCTTGCATTCATTTGACGAGTCTGGCAAAAGGAAGTCTGAGATGTCATAATTTGACCTAAAATGACGCTGGCGTTACGTTATGTTCCAACGTTAACCCGCGCGGGGCTGGGGTCTCCAGCCGAACGCGCGGGGCTGGGGGGGGGGGGTAAATTTTACCCCCCCTGTTATCTCCCGAACTAATGGTCCGATTTGGAAAATTCAAACGCCAATCGAAAGCTCTCATCACGAACTACTAAAAACATGTACTTAATTTAAAGTTTGAGGTCAAGGTCAAGGTCAGGTCAAGGGTACAAATTGCAAGTTTCTACAGTATCGGCCTTGCACCGTAGTTGCCGTAGAATGGAGTCATGGACTGAGACTGATCGCCCAAAACGTGTTCTTAGGCTACCAAGACAATATTCGTTGCATACAATATCATTCAGAGGTCAAGGTCAAGGTCAGGTCAGGTCAGGTCAGGTCACCAAAAAACAAAATATAGAAAAGGGCATGTGCGACACATGTTTTATGGGTCATTTTACTCATAGAATTCAATAGGCACACTCAATAAGTGATATGGACCACCTCTGGATGAATTTCAGGTCGAGGTCAGGTCAAGGTCAGGTCAAGTGAGGTCAAATTTTGAAGTTGGTTGTTAAGGCCTAAAAAGGTGTCTATCTGATGCAGTTTTTCACGGCGAATCGAATGGTGCTATTTTTGTTTCCGTACGAGGTCTAGAACTTTCAAAAAATTCATTTTTCAAAAATTTTGTGTGTCGTGACGTCATAAAATTTTGAATAACTCCCACATTTTTGAACCGATTCTTCTAAAATTTGGTATGTAGGTGCACATAGACCACTTCTCTGACATATATTCCGGTTTTTTCGATAGACTCAAAATTTTGGATTTTATAATGATTTTCCCAAAAAAGTCAGTTTTTTGAAAAAAATTTAGGCCAAAATCCAACATTTTCAAAAAATCGAGATAGCCATTTGATAGACAAAGTAAAATAACGTATAACCTTTTTTGTTACGTCTTGATTCCTTTAAAAATGAAGATGTTAGCGGCGTTTGAACTTTTGCCGTTTTTGAGGCGAAAATGGCGAACATGACGTCACTAAAACGTCAATTTCTCAAAAATTTTCCGACGGATTTCGCTCAAATTTTCAGGGAACGTGTCAAATTGATGTAAAAAAAGGTACTAAAAGTTTGGCGGCGCTGCGCGCCGCCATTTTTGAGATATCGCAAAAATTCGCGAGGGGGGGTAAAATTTACCCCCCCCCCCCCCAGCCCCGCGCGGGTTAAGAGGAAAACTGAGGTGTTTTCTGACTTACTCATTTATGATAACGTTGAAGAAGGTGGAAGACCAAGCGAAATCTCAATGCTAGGAAAATGCATGACATTGTCCGTTTTCTACATGTGTAAGCCATTGTCACGACGCTGGAACGGCACTGGTAAGACAGTGGCCGTTACTTATAATAACCTCTCGACTTCTCTGAAACAGTCATGACGCACAGATCCGTAGCGTCATCTCGAATCGTTAAATTTGCCTCAAACGCTCATTTTGAACATTGTGTTCTATGGTAAAAGCACATTAATATGGGATAGTTGTTTACTATGAAGGGACGCTCTCACTATTTCATGAAATTCGATGTCTGAACTCTGAACAACAATTATCTGCCAGTACATTATGAACAATAATCTGCTTTAGTTTTAATTAAAAAATATGGAGTCTTTGAAAGAATCTGGACAAATGATACAGTTAAACATGTATGCGGTACTCTCATTGGTTAGATTAGACATTAAGTTTGCCATATACATGGGCAATGTTTGTATGTTGCGATTAGTATCTTCTGTAACACTGCTAACTGCATGCCATCCTGTTTGTATTAAAGCAAGGTGTCGCATCAGAAATCGGGCCGGAAGGGAGTTAATGGCTTTTTCAAAGCGAAAAAGGAAATCAGGATATGTTAACCAAAGAAACCATCAACAGTCACGAAAACTGCGACGGAACTTATGTTTGAAAATATGACTTGATTTACTGTCGTTTTTGTTGTTGCTCAGCTCACTCAAAGCTGATGCAAGATAAGATACTACTAGCCTGCTATTCGTGCGGTAAACATGAAAACGTAGTGATATCGCTGCACAGTGCACACAGAGGGCAGAGCCACTGCATGCGTGTCTGTGAGTAAATCTCTCCGGGACTATCGATTTTCTATTTACATACTGAGACTAAGGGGGTAGTACCTATGGTAATATGACATCCGTTTTCCGTGGGGGTGGGGGGTGGGGCTAGGGGGGGTGTCACCCACGCTGATCGGCCTATAATGGAGTTAGAGCTTTCATGTGAAACCAGTATAACGCCTTTTGGGGCGACTAACGGAGCGAGCGAGAGGGTGGGCCCTGCACGTGCGAAATTGCGAGGGGGTACCACCAACTGACTTGTGCACGGCACCCTACTAACCGGTCTCTAGCGATGTGCCAAATTTGAGCACAATCGGCCCACCCAGCTGTTCTCGAGATCTGGAAGCGGCACCCTGCACGTGCGCACGTGCAAAGTTGGTCCCAACTGACTTGTGCAGTGTGCACGGTACCCTACTAGCTGGTCCCTAACTGTGTACAAATTTGAGGGCCAACGGTCCAG